GGTGCTGGTGGCCCTGGCCAGCGCCGAGCTGCATCGCGTGCCAATCCTCAAGGAGGAGAACTTCGTCAAGACCCGCAAGAATGTCCTGGCCGAGAAGGCCTATCTGCGCACCAAGTACCAGCTGCCCAGTGTCCGGGGAGTGAACGAGGAGCAGCTGGCCAACTCGCTGAACATGGCTTACTACGGTGCCATCTCCATCGGCACTCCGGCCCAGAGCTTCAAGGTTCTGTTTGACTCGGGATCCTCCAACCTGTGGGTGCCCTCGAACACCTGCACGAGCGACGCCTGCCAGACCCACAACCAGTACGACTCCAGTGCCAGCTCGACTTACGTGGCCAACGGCGAGAGCTTCTCCATCCAGTACGGAACTGGCAGCCTCACCGGCTACCTTTCCGAGGACACCGTCGATGTCAACGGCCTGAGCATCCAGAGCCAAACCTTTGCCGAGTCCACCAGCGAGCCCGGAACTAACTTCAACAACGCCAACTTCGACGGTATTCTGGGAATGGCCTACGAGTCCCTGGCCGTCGATGGAGTCGCTCCTCCCTTCTACAACATGGTGTCCCAGGGCCTGGTCGACAGTTCCGTGTTCTCCTTCTACCTGGCCCGCGATGGAACCTCCAGCCAGGGTGGCGAGCTCATCTTCGGCGGATCCGACTCCTCCTTGTACTCTGGTGACCTCACCTACGTGCCCATCTCAGAGCAGGGCTACTGGCAGTTCGCAATGGACGGATCGTCTTTTGACGGATACACCCTCTGCGAGAACTGCCAGGCCATCGCCGACACCGGCACCTCCCTGATCGTGGCCCCCTACGAGGCCTACATCACCCTGTCCGAGCTGTTGAATGTCGACGAGGATGGTTACCTGGACTGCTCCATCGTAAGCTCGCTGCCCGATGTGATCTTCACCATTGGTGGCTCCAACTTCGCTCTGAAGCCCTCGGCCTACATCATTGAGTCGGACGGCAACTGCATGTCCTCCTTCGAGTACATGGGCACCGACTTCTGGATCCTGGGCGATGTCTTCATCGGCCAGTACTACACCGAGTTCGATTTGGGCAACAACCGCATTGGCTTCGCCCCCGTAGCCTAACTTTCCGATCTGTGATCAGCGATCAATAAACGAGTACCTTGACTATATAACCCTTGAGTTGTTTACGTGTAATAATCTTATCAAATTACCATTGGGAGGGACTTCGAGTTCTAATATTGGGTCATGACTAAATAGCATAAACAATTATTATGATGGTTACAAATTTTGTTTAGGCTGAGATCTAACCTAGATAAGTGATACTGGTGGGAGTGGGAAGTTAGTCTTCAAATAATAAGTAAACAAAGTGCATGTCTTTCTTTATCCAAAAATATAAATAGAAACCATTCAACACCTACATACATATCTCTTTCGCTCTCGATTTGTTGACACTTGTGGCTATCCAACTGTATCATCCGGTAATCCACAAATCCTCTGCTGGCAACCTCGCCAATGTTGACTCTTCCAGATGGAAACGATCCAAGAGAGATTCACATGCCGTGGGGGGAGGAGGCTTCGCTCCATGAAGGCAATGACAGACGCCATCGGGTTAGGGAGCCAATTCATTTGTCCGGCCTGTTGCCTGGGCAATGATGCGTGTCACTGGCTGTCAAGAGGTCTCCGGGCTGGACCCGGGTGTCAAAGGGTAACCGGTGGGCTGATGCGAATGCGATGATGTCAGAGAATTGTCCCGGTCTGGGGAAACTTTTGCAATTGTAAACACTACAGTGACAACCCCATTTGGCAGCACGGGCAGTATTTAGAGGGGTGTCCGTCGTATATGGTGACAGGATGTGGAAGTGCAGTTGAGCAATGCAGAAAAGGACTCGAGCTGAGGGAACGAGGACAACCGGTCATATTGCTCCTGTTTGCAACTTGCCAAGGCAAATGACTTGCTGTCGGGAAATGTATGGATCCGGGAGGGACGGAAGAAGGAAAAGTTAGTCAGTGATAGGTCAGGGGTTGAGACCCCTCCTCCGTGGCGCAGTTAATGAATCACTTAATGGAAAACCTGGTCTACACCCGACTTCCGTTTTCAACCAGGAACTCAACCCAGCGCCGGCAATCGATTTTTAATTGTGTCTGATTGATGTTGACCCAAAGTCCACTAAGCCGCTTGGCTTTTGAGAATATTTATGAAAACACAGGAAAAAACATTTATCTTTATCTTCTCATCTTTAAAAAACCTAATTAAAAAATAAAAAATAAGTCTGTATCTAAATTTTGTTTTATACAATATTGTATAGAGATTTTTGAATTAATCTTCAAATTTCATATATTTTTAATTCAAGTGCAATATCCCCTCATTTAAAAGAATTCTATTTCAACTCTTTCAGGAGACAGCCGCACAATGATGACAAACAGATGTGCTTGCTTCGCCTTGGCCTTCCTCCTCCTCTGCTTCTTGGCCATCTCGAGCGTTGAGTCAGCTCCCATGCCCAGGTAGTTGTACAAAATCCCACCGCACACCAACCCACACCCAAACGAACACCCACTCTCATCCACATCCCTTCCAATTTCGGTTAGACACATACAGAGAGACATAACCTAATTAATTTCTGGCACTTTAGCTGTGAAAACCAAAAAATTTGGAATAAAAATATTTGCCAAAAAGCAATTACCCCACTGACTACCAGTCACAGTTGGTTTAGACCAAATTTTTGGCCATGCAGGATATGTACTTACACACATATTTGTATAGACATGGGTATGGGGACTTTACACTTTCGAGTGTCAGCGCCTTTTGAAAATATCTTTAAATTCGCTGCTGGCGAAACCAAAATTTTTAATTAATAAAATGTAAACGTTGACAGAAAAGTGCTCACAAAAATTTGATGCAAGATGATAAAATTCTTGAGCGCCCAAGTGGGTTGGGCATTTAAGATTTTTAAAGTCAACGATTTTGTGGTGAATTCTGCCAATTTAAAAGCCACTATTAAAAATTCATTGGTCCCAGGCCAACTAATTAGCAGTTGCTCGAATGGAAAATGCCGAAACATTCGGGCATTAACAAATAATTGGGTTTCCATGCAAATGGAATAATTTTAAACCCGGCGAATGTCAAATTTAACAGAGCCAAAGTAATTAGATATCCTGCTGAGCCGCGATACCCAGATACCCACGATAATGCCAAACGTTCAAAATACTACAGAGAGACTATGGACAAAAGCAAACTCTAATTTTCCATTTCGATGACTCCCAAAACAGCCAATCCAATGGCGGGGGCTATGGCGGTGGCTACAACGAACTCGAGGAGGTGCCCGACGACCTCCTGATGGAATTGATGACTCGCTTCGGACGCACCATAATTCGGGCTCGTAACGATTTGGAGAAGTAAGTTTATTATTGAGAATTATGATAATCTTTATTGTCAAGGACCACACGCTGCGTATGAGCAATATTTATTAGAAAATGATTGTGATTTTTATGACTGTAGCTTAAAACAATACCATTATAAACTCCTTTAATTAGTAACTATTAAGATAATAAAAATTAATGGCTCCGCAGCTCAAAGCGAACTGTGGACTTTGGCCTGGCCCGGGGATATTCGGGCACCCAGGAGGCGAAACATCGCATGGGATTGGCTGCAGCTAACTTTCCCGGCGGACCCGGACGAAGGCGGCGCTCCGAGACCGACGTCTAAGTCGCATACCATGGCTGAGCGTGTCCGGACAGCGATTCCTGCGGACGTAATGGACGAGTTTCCACTTCTCGACTCACAAATGACCTATACTTGATCTCTTTTATGGATCTATCATTTGCATTATGTTGGTTTGTTTGTTATGCATTGTACATACGTAAAAAAATATATATATTTATTATGGATCTGTCCTCTACTATCTACTACCGGATACTGATATAAATATTTACCAGATATCAAAACTATATTTACCAAAAGCTAAGGCCCAAATAAATATGTTAAACTGTTGCTCCAAAGGAATGTCTTTTAGACACTTTTTGCACTTTTCCCATCTCCGTTTATATCACTTTTTTCGATTCGTCTTACTCTCCCAAAAAGAAGGAAAAGAAGGCAAAAAAGATTCTAAGCAAAAAAAAAAGGGATACAGCCTCAATTTAAATAAATATCTAAAAAATATTATTATATTCAAGTGTAAGCAAATTCGCGCAAAAAATCTTTAACTAGGTATGTCCTACATATAAACACAAAAAACCTACAAAACACACTGACACTTCACAGCACTTTTGGCCCCCAAATTAGCCAGAATGAACCCAACGAAACTGAAAGTTTTTTTCATCAATAGCCAAATGCTCCCTCGCGTACCGATTAGATCGCTGCAAGCGACTTTTAAGTATTGTAAATATATGTTAACAAAACACACGTACAACTAAAGCGATCAAAATATATATACACAAATATACCTAATGAAGTCTACTTGCATATATATTTACCAATTGTTGTGTCTATGGAAAAAGCTGCATACATTAACTTAACGTGATTCGGGGTACGATCAAATAAAGTCTACATTTTGAGAAACTTCAACTACTGGGTGTTTCATTTTGTTCAAATCGGAAATGGGAGGTTTATCTGTCGAATGCCATTAACCTCACCCATCCAATATCCTGACCTCATAAATCCTATTCATTTGGGAGCTGCAAATGAATTACAAATATCTAGCAGTAGCGTACTAACCAAGCTGCAAATGCAATCGAATTTATTTATTTACTGCTGTGTTAGACTTTCCTGATTTATGCATGTTATTCGATTGCTCAGGCATTCAAATAATTGAACCTCCGGGCACCATAAAATCCGAAACATTTGATACACACCTGCGTAGGTGGTAATGATTATTGAATTCAGTTTAGGGGATGGCTAAAACAAAATACTCTGCTGTCATGCTAGAATAGTGTTTAAGGGTAAACATTACCTTTTCGTATTAAAGGGGCCGATATCCATAGTTTAAAATTAAATTCGCACATTTGTTTAGTAATGAATTTTTACTAGTAATTTATTTTTATTAAATACAACGAGGTAAAGTGGTCAATAAGGCCCTGAGGTAGTATTAAAATTAATCAATCTTTCAGATAAGTCAGAGATAGATTTCAAATCTATAATATATAATAATTTTTGATCGGGCTTTTTTTCAATAGCCCAGCTTTATGCCTTCAAAAGGGTCTTTGTAATAATTAACCGGAAAATTACATTTTTTGGTCAAAGCCAACTTCAATAAAACGTGAAGTCCAAACATCAAGCTTGATTGGCTCAAAAGAAATATTTAGATTGGTGTGCTGCATAGCGGGAAGTACCTGTAAGAAAAGGCAATTAACTAACTTGATGAGGCACTTTTAATGAGGAATCACATACTTTTTTTGGATCCAGTCCAGTACCATATAGGTGGAGTGTTATTGGAATAGTTCGATTTATTAAAACTCTAGTCATGACTGAAGTACTTGGCCCGATGAACTGTTGGCACAACTTAGTGGACGATAAATTAAGAATTTTGAGGGAAGGGCAGGAGCCCACCATATTCCAGAGCTGATCGGGAGTGGGAAGGTCGCGCATTTTCAGCAAGTGTAGCTCCTCTAGATTCTTCAGCTTGCGGCAAATGTTGTGTAGAAGATGTGTCTCAATGTCGTCATCCTGAAAGACCAGCCGTCGAAGATTTGACATTTTCTCAATGGCGTAGGTGACATGTTCGCTACTCCAAAAGGCATCATGGAAAAGGAGTGACTGCACCTTTAGCGGAGCCAACTTGGCCAAGTTGTTTAGCAAAGTTTCGTAGTAATCCCGTGTGTAGAAGGCCAAACGGCGAAAGTTCGGCAGACGAACCAATTTAGCCAGAAACTCTCCTAGCAAATGATGGTCGTCCATAATAAGCTCTTCAAGGGTTGTGCAATAGGTGATGTCCGTGACGACGGAGTCTAGGGTGACATTGTAGCCATAGTACAACATTGTGAGCTTGGTCAGTTTTAGTTTTTTGAATGTGTCTTCGAAAGTAAAAGTGTCTAAGTATTCGCACCAGACTAGATTCAGCTCCTTTAACTGCTTCCAGCGCCAAAGGTGCAAACCGGTAGTGCTGCTACTGAGGGTGAGATGCGTCAGGTTCGGGAACAGCACTGTGAGCATCATGGTCTCGTCATCGCCATATTCCAGATTATACTCCATTTCGCAGTCCAGTTTTTGAACGTGGGGGAAGTCAAAGTTGGTCATTTCCTCCAGAATATCCATTTTGCCTTTGGTCACCTTTACACTCTGCACGGAATCCGCCCAGTACTTTACGGAATCCCTCATAGCAGACGTGTTTGACTCAAAAATTTCCAGGACGTCATGGGTGAGATGAACATATTTGAGATGGCGCCAGTGGTACTGCACATAGGATTTCATATTCGCATTGATGGAGGCCACAGACAACTGGTCCTTCATTGGCAAATATTTGAGAATGTTTATCCACACATCTTCATTTAGTCGCTCCATTACGATGTTTGAATAAGAACAAGAAATTAAAAAAAAGTAAACAAATACTTTTTAAAGATGGCACTTTGTTAGTGGTGGCACTGACGTATTACTTCTTAGAGATGGCTCGTGGCTTTATTATTCACTGCTTGCTTTTAACCGATTTTTAAATAAAGGCGGGAGAAAAACGAAATATTGTTGCTGATCTTACTGAAAGGTTAAAAGGATTCAGAATAACTTTCTTATATAACAACACCATTTAAATTTCAATGCATGCTTCGTTTATTTAAATCAAGAAATGAATCTTAGAATGAATGAATGAATCTAGAAATATTTTTAAAACATCTGATATGTGCGTTTTCTACTTTAAAAACTTTAAATCTACAACTTTTTAAAATTTAATCTCAGTAACATGTAAAATACTTATGAATTAAATGGAAGAACTTATTCGATTGGCACTTGTGGGTATGCATTTTCGGCTACAACCTATGGGGTTTCGTTTATTGAAAAAAACACTTTAATAATACTATGTAAGTCTGGGGCTATAGAAAGCACCTTCTCCTTTCATACTTTTTTTTAAATTCTTATAAATATTTTTTTTCTTAACAAATTATGTATGTACAGTCTTCAAGCACTTTAATATTTCTTAAATTTTTACACCAGTTCCTTGGCCAGCTGGAATGGCTCCCAGGGTTGCGGTGACGCCTCCACCAGCATTGGCATTACCATTCGAATTGGAACTTATTAGCTCCATGTATTGGAATGGGACATGGTAGCTTTGGCCTTTGTGCTCGACCATCAAATGACCACGGCCTGTGGAAGCACCCACCACGGTCACTGTTTCCCCTTTCTTCAGATGCTGAGTCTCCGTCTGACTCTCCTCGGGAAAGTTCATCTTCATCACACGGCTCTGGGGATAGCCTAGTTTTGAATTTCCATTTATAGTATAGGATCGTGATGGAGGCACCGGAGGTGGTCGTTCCTGTTAAGTATTAAGGATAATAAATAATATTTGTTTTATCAATACTCATATTTAAGAAAAACTTACCAAATCCAGTCCAAATAGATTACAAGTTTGCTGAATAATTTTTTGATCGCACTTTTCCTGGGGATCCGGGGGTGGCGTACCTGCAATTGGTTGGGGTCTGGGTCTGGTCACAGTTCCTCCTATGCCAAGGCTTGTGGACTTGGCCGATAGTCGTGGCACTTCAGAGAGAATATGTATGTAAGATCTGTGATATTTTACAACGGAATATGTTCTACCTGTACTTGGAGCTGAAGCTGCTACCGCTGCCAGGGCAGCCATTGCTGCTGATGATGTTCCCTTGTTTCCGGAATTTCCTGTCTTGGCCACTGGAAGTGGAGCGTTGGCATTCGTTGGAGGATGGTGGGCAACTCGAGAGTGCTTCGCGGCACCGTTGCCCACCTTCTTGCGCCACCACCAGCCTCGCCAGGTGGCCTGCATCAGTGTAGCACTCTTGTGACGAATCTCCGTGCGCAGATGCTCCAGATGCTGGCGGATGCCCTCGCTTAGGAAGACATGCCTCTTGCCCGGAGCCCAGGCCAGTGTCACCGATCCGTCTAAAACTGGAGGACGCTCCATGGCATACTGCAGAATCAGCTGGCAATCCTCAAGAGCCTTGTCCTCGCTGCGTCGCAGGAGGCGGAATGGAGCCAGCATCCGGTAGCGGGCATTAAACTGCTTAAAGCGCATGCGGTGTGGGAACCCACTAGCCATCAGATTAACCGTCTCCAGGACCTGTAGCGAACGAATCTGGCGCACCACGGTGGCCCGGTCGAAGCTGCCAGCTGTCTCGGATCCATTGCTACGGATGCAGCGCACAAAGTGCGGCCTGGCATGAACCAGCGTCCTCAAGAGGTTGTCCAGCCGTGTGTGGAAGTCCTGGGTCAGAGTGGACACCGGTTCATCGCCATTCAGAAGGTCCGAGTGGGAGGTGGGGGAGATGCGAAAACTGAGACCCCTGGGAGCCTGCTGCTGGGCATATAGAGCCTTCAGCTCAGACCCGAACAGATGGGTGGCGAACCCGAAGTTGCAGCTGTGCTTGTAGAACACTGCCACCAGGTCATCCGGAACCCGGTCCCTGTTGGTGTCCAGGAAGTCCGTGGTATCGTACTCCACTCTCCCAGCAAAGTGACGGATAAGGAACATACGAGGATCGTGGGGCTCAGCGGTGGGCTTAGTCTCCAGGCGCGTGGAGCATCTGTGCTGCACCTTCAACTTGGCCACGTAACTCTCAGCCGTGCCCCTGACAGAGCACTCCGCGTCCAGCATGCTGAGCAGTCCCGTTCGCAGGGAAGATATAAGATCGATGCAGGGAACATTGTCCACGTAGTCCACCTCAGTGTCGCACACGATGCCCTCATCCCGACAGGATTCCACCGAGGACTTAAAGATGTGCGTGTTGTAAAAGTGCTGCATGGTCTCGGCACAAAGATTGATGCACAGATGCTCCAGCTGAGCGTGGGGCGAGGGCTCCTCGAACCCAAACATGTCCAGAATGCCGATAAAGCCGTCGGTGGCATGACGCACAGCGTTATTGAGAGCCGCCATCGACTTGGAGCCTGCGTTCCCACCTCCAATGGTGGAGGCGTGCTGAGAGGCGGCATCCGCCTGGTTGTGCACCGATTCATTGGAGTCTGAGCTGAGGGTGCCCAGCGTGGATCCCAGTCGCTTGAGGCTGTTGGCCCTCCGTACAATGGTGGCCACCGTGCGACAGTATAGCGCCTTTGCCAGGCAGTCCCGGGTCATGTTGGCATCTCCATCTCCGCACACCGACTTTACCAGCTGGCCGCGCACATTGTGGGTGCGGGTGGTCAGTCCGCGGAAGAGTGCAGCGGGTGGGACCCCCAGAAGACTGGCCACCGAGTTGAGTTCGGTTTCGCCCTTCACGTCCACTTCCAGACCCTGTTACGAATAAAAGAGTGATATTAAACAATTAGTTAAATAATGTTATGTGGCCTTGTGAATTATTAAGTCAAAATAAGTAGTACCATGAGGTACAAAAAGTTTCTTACTCAGCAAATTTAAATTATCAAACATGTGTATTTCAGACGTAAATTACCCATGTGTATATTAAATATACCCATCAGCGCAAGAAACATTAAAAACAAGGTGCTTGCTCGAGCGAGAATCGAACCGGGGTTAACCGGTTCGGAGACCAGCACTCTAACCAAAGCACCACTGCGGCATCAGCGACTGAGTTGCCAAACATGAAACTACAAGCTGAGAAAAACACCAACACTAGGTGGCGCTTGTCCACAACCCAACACCTTTTAAAAATAAAACATTTAAAAACAGAATTAAAGTCAATCCACTTACCCCTCCATCAATAAAATGAACATTTCCCAATAACAGCACAGCAGCCAACACACGGACCACGTCCAGAAACGGAATGCCCAGGATGCCGAGACAAGTCTTCCAAGCCTGAAAGCGCGCAGCATCATCCTGCTCGTTCTGGCCAACATCCCCGCGCAGGTAGCGCAGGTTGACCGGTGAGTAGCCTTCCAGGTGAAGTTTCATCCGCTCCTCCCTGTTCAGACCCGCCAGCATTTGGTAGAAGATGTGGTAGTTCTTCTCCTTGGGCAGTGGTCGGATGACGCGCGTCTGGTCCAGGAAGTAGCAGTGGATCTTGGTCCTATACAGAGCTCCATCGGTAACCTGCACCTCTATGAACTGTCCGATTCGACTCGATTCCGAGTTCGTGGTGGTTTTGGCCGATCCCAGGGACCTAAGGACAGTAAAGGCAGCTGCCAGATGCTTGAAGGCATCCGTCTCCGGTCCTCCTCCTGCGATGGCAAAGAGCTGACGGAGCATCAACATTGCATTGGCCGTCTTTCCAGCACCCGAAGTACCCGACAGTATAATGGCCTGGGGGTAGCCAGTCTCGCTTTGCTGACGCACTGCCTCCTGGACGATTTTTTGCAGTTGAGGGGCCAGCGGCAGGGCACGCGTAGAGGTGAGCGTCAGAGGATTGCCCACGTCCAGGTAGGGATTGATGGAGAGCAATATGGGACCTACATTTGTCTGAAAGAGCGCAAAGATAAATGAGTTTTTGTGAGTCAACTGTTTTGAGCTTGGCGAGGCCTTGATGGATGACACCCATTAATCCAAGACACAGAGAAGGATTTATGAATTATTCATACCTACACTACTCTAGAGCTTCTTCAAAAATATTTTATTATCGGAAAAATCAAACCCAATATTTAGAAAGAACCTCACTATTTTCAAATTTGCGTTTAATATGAAAATTATACGAACAGAAAATTGTACCGTTGCTAAAGTATAGTTTTTCTTTAACCATCACCTTGAAAATAATTCCCGAGTAACCAAACACCGCTAGAAGATATGTTAAACTCGACTCCAGCCCCAAGAGCTACAAGCTCACACCTCATCCGCAGCTACGGTAGCCCCGAGACCCCTGGATCCCCTTCATTCCCCTTCGACTAGGCTACAAACATCAACTTCCTTTGCCGCTCGCCAGACGGGCTATGACGAGTAATTGTCGAAATTAGCTGTTAATCTAAGACCGAGTGCAAACGGAGTTGGCTTTTAATGACAAACTATCAGAGTAATTGCTTGAGAACCGTGGGGAGCGGGCAGAGTGTCGCTTCTGGGACCGGTTTCTGGCTGCCTAGTGATTTGCGGTGTGTTAGGTGATTCGAAAAGGCGGTTCCCGCCGATACTCACAAAGTACCGCTGCTCGTTGAAGCGGGCCTGCAGGGTACGCATTACGGCATGTTCGGTGAGAGGGCCGGACAGGTGGATCAGGTCCTGCATGTCCTTGGGCGAAGGGCTGGCCTGCTGCTGATGCAGCTTCTGCTGACCTCCGGCAAATCCAAAGCCAAAGGGCAAGGTTTTCACGCTCTGGCAGGGATTTGCAAGCTTCGGCTGCGGGATAAATGGCATTTGCTGGCTTTGATTATGGCTGACCGGATGTTGGCCTCCTCCGCTAATGGGGTTGGATGAAGCCGCTAGGTGTCCAGAGTTGGAAGACCGCATGGGCAGTGTGTTGGAGTTGGACTGGGAGTGGGGATTGGGATGAGAGCCGTGCCCCAGGATGTTTCCCAAGCTGCTCATGTGGGGTAGCGTGCCGGTGGACGGGCCATGTCCGTTCGTATTCTGGTGATGGGACAGACCCGACTTATCGGCCAGCTGATGCGGAAGCGGATGTGGAATTGAGGTGTTCCGGGCCGACACCACTGGTCCTCCTCCTCCTCCGGATCCCGCATTTGATGGCAACGTCTGGCTGAAGCTGTGATTCTGTAAAAAGATTATGGAAATTCAACATTGTATTTCGATATGTTATCGAAAGAGAAAGCAGCTTCAAATGATTTGTTTGGAAACAAAGAACATCGAAAGTGAAATCATGTTCATTATTTGATTGATTTACTATTGTTTATATTTTTAGAAGTTTTTTAATCTCTTCAGAGTTCAATGGGCTCACCTTGGATGCTGCTTGCTGCCCATTGGTATGCTGTTGCAGGGCACTGGCGGAGAGTCCAGCTCCACCGGAGCTGAGGTTTAGGTTCGGGCTGGAGGCATTTAACTCGAAGTTGTTCGCCTGCCCCTGCCCTTGGCCAACGTGAAGGCGATTCCGCAGGGTCACCAGCTCGGTGCTAAGGCTCTTGAGGCGCTGTTGCAGGTGCACTGCCTCATTGGACGAAGATGCATCTGAAAATTAAAGTAGTTTGGTTGAATATAAGCTTTAACTTGGTTAAGTTTGGTTACAACTGGCCTTGGGAGCTCAGTCTTGACAAAATATATCCAATGAATTACTTGGAGCAGAAAAGGAATCAGTAAGGAAATTAAATAATACAAAAAATTATATTTAGTTAATTTTCATATCATTTAACATTTTAATCATTTAACACAAGCGCCATTAAAACCTGTTAACAAATAAGTCATGGACTGCTCAGTTTAAAAATTTTTTAAACAAAAACAAAATTGTTTACAATTTGTTTAGTAGGTAGGCGTTGCCAAATCATGGAAAAAAATCCTATTTAAGAAGAACCCATCATGGCATTAAATGGCATTCGGTCTCAGACCGTTGTCCAGCAAACACCTGCTATACCAGAAGTTATTTTATTTTATTTTTTGATATTTTTTGATATTTTTATTTTCTTTTGTTTATTTTTATATGTACGAAAAAAGCAACATGGAAATCTCATTGTCAGATATGTTTTTTTTTGTTTTTGGCTGAAGCCTGAAGAAGAACCCATTTTCATGGCATTCGGCCTCAAACCGTTGTCCAACAAACATCTGCTATACCAGAACTTATTTTATTTTATTTTTTGATATTGATTTTTATTTTCTTATTTTTATTTTTTATGTACCAAAAAAACAAGATGGAAATCTCATTGTCAAATACGTTTTTTTTTGTTTTTGGCTGAAGCCTGAAAAATCTGAAAAAGAACCCAACTTCATAGCATTCGGTCTCGGACCCTAGTCCAGCAAACACCTGCGATACCAGAAATTATTTTTCAATAATTCTTTGTTGGAAATCAAGCTTTCGAAAACATATGTAAGCTTTTGGGCTGTTTTGTTTTTTTTTTTGTTTTTCTACTTTGTTTTTGCTTAAGTATTTAAAAAATTCTGAAGAGCATTTTTACCGAACAAAGGTCTAAGCTCGGGGATTGATGGATTCTTTTGAGATTTTTATTTTCTTATTTTTATTTTTTATGTACCAAAAAAGCAAGATGGAAATCTCATTGTCAAATACGTTTTTTTTTGTTTTTGGCTGAAGCCTGAAAAATCTAATGAATAGCCCAACTTCATGGCATTCGGTCTCAGATCCTTGTCCAGCAAACACCTGCGATACCCGAAGTTATTTTATTTTATTTTTTGATATTGATTTTTTTTTTCTTATTTTTATTTTTTATGTACCAAAAAAGCAAGATGGAAATCTCATTGTCAAATACGTTTTTTTTTGTTTTTGGCTGAAGCCTGAAAAATCTAATGAATAGCCCAACTTCATGGCATTCGGTCTCAGATCCTTGTCCAGCAAACACCTGCGATACCCGAAGTTATTTTATTTTATTTTTTGATATTGATTTTTTTTTTCTTATTTTTATTTTTTATGTACCAAAAAAGCAAGATGGAAATCTCATTGTCAAATACGTTTTTTTTTGTTTTTGGCTGAAGCCTGAAAAATCTAATGAATAGCCCAACTTCATGGCATTCGGTCTCAGATCCTTGTCCAGCAAACACCTGCGATACCCGAAGTTATTTTATTTTATTTTTTGATATTGATTTTTTTTTTCTTATTTTTATTTTTTATGTACCAAAAAAGCAAGATGGAAATCTCATTGTCAAATACGTTTTTTTTGTTTTTGGCTAAAGCCTGAAAAATCTGATAAAGAACCCATTTTCATGGCATTCGGTCTGGCATTCAGACCCTTGTCCAGCAAACACCTGCGATACCAGAAGTTATTTTATTTTACTTTTTGATATTGATTTTTATTTTCTTATTTTTATTTTTTTTATGTACAAAAAAAGCAAGATGGAAGTCTCATTGTCAGATAAACTTCTACCATATTAATATGTAAAATTATCTACATATAAGTGAAGTTTATGTGGTAACATTTAATGGCATTCGGTCTCAGACCGTTGTCCAGCAAACACCTGCGATACCAGAAGTTATTTTATTTTTTAATATTGATTTTTATTTTCTTATTTTTATTTTTTATGTACCAAAAAAACAAGATGGAAATGTCATTGTCAAATACGTTTTTTTTGTTTTTGGCTGAAGCCTGAAAAATCTGAAAAAGAACCCAACTTCATAGCATTCGGTCTCGGACCCTAGTCCAGCAAACACCTGCCAGAAGTTATTTTTCAATAATTCTTTGTTGGAAATCAAGCTTTCGAAAACATATGTAAGCTTTTGGGCTGTTTTGTTTTTTTTTTTTTTGTTTTTCTACTTTGTTTTTGCTTAAGTATTTAAAAAATTCTGAAGAGCATTTTTACCGAACAAAGGTCTAAGCTCGGGGATTGATGGATTCTTTTGGGATTTTTATTTTCTTATTTTTATTTTGTATGTACCAAAAAAGCAAGATGGAAATCTCATTGTCAAATACGTTTTTTTTTGTTTTTGGCTGAAGCCTGAAAAATCTAATGAATAGCCCAACTTCATGGCATTCGGTCTCAGATCCTTGTCCAGCAAACACCTGCGATACCCGAAGTTATTTTATTTTATTTTTTGATATTGATTTTTTTTTTCTTATTTTTATTTTTTATGTACCAAAAAAGCAAGATGGAAATCTCATTGTCAAATACGTTTTTTTTGTTTTTGGCTAAAGCCTGAAAAATCTGATAAAGAACCCATTTTCATGGCATTCGGTCTGGCATTCAGACCCTTGTCCAGCAAACACCTGCGATACCAGAAGTTATTTTATTTTACTTTTTGATATTGATTTTTATTTTCTTATTTTTATTTTTTATGTACCAAAAAAGCAAGATGGAAATCTCATAACCAAATATGTTTTTTTTTGGTTTTGGCTGAAGCCTGAAAAACTGTCTGAAAAATCTTGTACCTTTTATTTTAATTATTTTTAACATGATCACAAATCAATTGTCGTCATTAGCTTTGGTCTCCATAACTGCGACAGTTCCTTTCTGAGATTTTTATAAGTGCGTTCATAAAGTGTTTTTTTTATTAAACATCTGCGTTTCATTATTTAATTCTTTTTAATTTTTTTTTAACGTTAGTCTGTTGGTGTTATCCTCTTAAAAGTCCAAGTGGGACGTCTCTTTGTCGCAGATCCTTGGCTTTTGTCTCGAGCATTGCCAGACTTTCTTTCTAAAATTGTATCTTATTCCTTAATGTTTTTTATTTAAAATATGAGTTTTATCAATAAGCCTAAGCTTTTTAATTACAGGCTTGTTATCTTCTTCACGAGCTTCTTATTTATTTATTTGACGATAAATAACCTTTACTTTTAACCTTTTTTATGTTTTATAAATTTTAAGCATTTTTTTGTACCCTGGTTTTCAGAGTTGGAGTTGTAATTTGAGTTGGAATTTGAGGTTCGAGTTCTTCTAATTTTCCATATCATTTTTGATAAACCTTAAAACCCGTGTTCTGTATGTACCTCTATAACTTAAGTTTGCTACGGACTGTTCTACAAAGTTTTAAAAATTGTTTTATTTATGTATGTCAACTCATCAAACAAAGTTCTAACGTTAGCCTACAATGGAATTTTGACTGCCCGCTGACAACATCCTCGATAGTATAGTGGTTAGTATCCCCGCCTGTCACGCGGGAGACCGGGGTTCAATTCCCCGTCGGGGAGATGTTTATTTACATTTTTTTACTTTTATGGTTTAATAAAATTATCAATTCTTGCTTAAATATGACACACATTATTATTTTTATTAAAAACTAAAATTACAAACCATCCATTATATAAAACCATTTGTATTAAACTATCTTCCCGAGGAAAATTTATTTTTATCTTACCTTTTTTTGGTAAAAAAAAAGATAAGTTAAGGATATCTGCATTATATATTTCCTTACTTTGTAAAAATTATTTAAATAAATAAAACAATTTAAAAAAAAAGTTTCTAACATCTCCCCGACGGGGAATTGAACCCCGGTCTCCCGCGTGACAGGCGGGGATACTAACCACTATACTATCGAGGAAGTTGTCGACGGCTGACCAAAAGTACTAATTCAGAATTTCTAAACTTCCTACCTCAATCATCCATATATAAAGACATTCTTTTTCTAGACTGACATGTATGTACATATATATAATCAATATTTGTAGGAAAGAATACTATAATAAAACGTAGCACTTTGTAATTTAGCGATAAGGAATTTGTTTAGTTCTAATTAACAACTCAATACAACGAATATAAAATTCACACCGATTAATTCTGCTTTAAAAGACAGAAACTCTTGCACGCGGATCCATATTATAGGCTTGTGCCGATAGAATAGCAAAAGTCATCTTAATAGATATAGATGGAGAACATTTACATAAAATGTTAATGAACCAATTTCGCCAGAGTCGCAGAAAAATAGAGACACTGGACGCGCAAAGATGAAACACAAATAGCCGGCAGGTGAAAAAGAGACTTCAGAAACAAATACATAGAATAAAAGATCAATGAGACGACTCGACAATCAGCTGCTAATGCCTACTGATTTATAGATACTTTCAAAACAGGGCCGAGAGGTCATTGTTACAGCCCCAACACCCATAAAACCCAGCCGAGCTAACAAGTTTATATATAAGCTCCAAAGACCTGTTCCCACTAATTTTCACGACCCATTCAACAAATCAAACTAATTGGCTAATGAAAAGCTATAGAAAAATGAGAAGAAAATGAGTACTCGGCAGATGAGATGAGCGAGGGCCCTTCTAAAAAACAGACTCTGCAATAAAAAAGAGGCAGGCAGACAGAGCCAAGCTTACAACAGAAACGTATTCGACAAAAAACAATATCATTGATGGCTGCCGGAGGAAACCAGTTTTAGTTTTGTTTTATTATTATTTTTTTTTTTTGTTTCTTGTTGCCCAAAGCTGCACTCAAGAAATGTAAGACAAAGCCAGAGAAAAAGCTACAGAAAAGACATCCAACATCCATCTTAGGCAGGCAAACTTTTTCAAATATTTGTAGACGTTTTTACGATGATTAAGGCTTTTTCGAAATTAGTGACAGAAGATAACATTTTCAGTAGGGCTTAAGGTTATTAAATTAAAAAAAAAAATAAGTAATGGCAATTAAGCCATTGATTGGTGAAAATGAGGCACCGCAGCATGAAAATAAAGTGGATTTGTTTAAGAGTAATTAGAAGCCAACTCAACTGGCTTTCTTCTGTGGATTCGAATTTGAAGTTTGTCTTGTTTTTGGCAAGTAGAAAAGGTTTGTGAGTCAAAACGAGCAGCAAGCAAGAAAATTTCTTGGAAGCTGAATAACAAAGTTGGCCCAAAACTGGTCGCCGTGCGCACCAAGTACTCTGGCAAGAGGCCGGGGAGTGCGGCTAAGTTTGGAAGGGGGAAGTCAGGTCGCCTCGCACAACTGTTGCAACTCGAGAGAGGCAAGTAACACCCATACAGCCGAGCAGCAAAAGCCAGGTATCCATATAAGCGGATTCGGTTGTAGTTATTGCGGATGATTATGAATATGAATTCAATCGGCGCAGAATGCTTATATAGGAGGTTGATTGAAACTTTGAAACAAGAAGCCCAAGATGGCAGTGACAAGTAAGTTGAGAACCAATCAACTGGCAGCTTAGACTTTTGTAGAGAAAGAATCTATCAAACCATGTTCCATATTTCTAAAAAAAATAAACTCTGTTTCTTGCAAATTTCAAATGTTTATTTATTCATTTTTTGATATTTGATCATACTAATTTATTTTTTTAAACGAAATAATTCATATAAGTTAAGTTAGAAAATCTCCACTTACTCCTAGGAACAAAAGACTTAGGAAACAAACTCGAAATTCCTGACACACTCCAAGACTACATACCATGGCGTTAAGAACTTACCCTGCAGCTTCTTTTCCGTTTCCCAAAATTTTTGCAATTCGGTAAAATATTTATCCAATATGAAGACTTTTGAGAGGCCCAATGTGGCCATCGTTGTTGTACATTTGTGTGGCCCACGACGACGAAGACGACGATTTTCTTATTTGAATAATTCCGTATACAGGCTCTCACAGACACTGATTACACACACAAACACACGCGACACGGCCGGAGGAACAGGTTTTTGGTTTTCCGCACAGGCTCTGCCAGGCACCCGTATCTGTATCTATGGCATAAAAACCGAGCCCGAGCCCGAACCCGAGTCCGAATCCGAATCCGAATCCCAGTTCCAAATATATAATAAAAAGAGGATATGTATAAAAATATATATGTATGTAGTTATGTGTGTCTGTGTAGGGGAGACTCTGCAGCTGCAACAAGTGAAGCAACCGCAAAACACACGAAAAATAAGTAAACAAGCAAAAAGAATGCAAAAGGGCGAGCAGCAGCAGAGAAGCAGCAGCCGAAACCAAATCACAGCGAGCCTGGCCGGCCTCTTCGCCTCCTTGTATCGGTATCCGTAAGATACTTTTGCAGCACACTCGATGGTTCTGGATCTGCTTTTGCTTTTCTTATTATTGTTGTGTTTTTTTCCCCGTCTCCTCTTGGGGTTTTTTTTTCTTCGCGGGCGCGCTTATTTTCTCGTTTTGTGCAGACTTTTTCGTCGTTTTCGTCGTTTTGTTCGTTTTTGAAAAACGAGTTTCCAACTTTAACTCCAGCTCCAGGTCCAACAGGCAGACAGAGACCTCGTACCCGCACCCGTACCCAGTGTAGATATTGCTTAGATACCGAAGGTACAACACACACACCAACACAGATGCACACGCGTCCGCCGCGCTGGAGCAGTTTTTCAGATACACAGATTCAGATTCAGATTGATTTGCCGCTGCTGGCACTTTCCACTCCGGTCTACCCCGTGACCTCTCCGCCGATTAATTATAAACTTTAATTAGGTTTTCTGCGCGACCCGGCGATCATTTCACTTCAATCACCTCCGCTTGAAAGTGAATCAACTTCACGAGCATCCGAAGCGAACGTTTAAAACTCCAGTCACAGACTGAACGCTTCTACGGGAACGGTGATCTCTTGGAGCTCACCTGGTCCGGTCGCCGAGCCGCTCTTGCTCTCGCTCTCTCTCACCTGGTACTTGGTAGTTGGTGCTGGTCTCTTCCGCTCTGCGTCTCTCGCAGGTAAGTTTTCTAACAGGTAAAAGGCTCTACCTTCTGCATCTACGTCGCCTACCCAGCAGATCGCCGCCGATCGCCAGTTGTTCAAATATGAGGTCAAGTGTTTGAACTATGCGCCTGTCGCCTTCCCTCCTCACCGACTGCCGACTGCCTGCATGGCTGTATGGCTGCGTTGGAGTCTTCGTCGCGTGTTAATTAGTGTTTATTGTTTATTGTTTGGGCTGCGTTTCACAATTCCCACAGCTCCGCTAGATCGTTGCATTTTGCAAACTCACCGTCGGGTGCGGCGGGTGCTGCAGTGCGGATGCAAATGGGCATACTAAAGTGCATACACGATTTTTCCTTGTCGCAGGCAAATAGCACATAATAGCCTTTCTTAGTTAATTACAAATCGCATACAAATTAATTAAATTGAATGATTGTTTTGATGGTTATACCAATTTAATGAAAATGGTTTCATTAGCGGCAATCTATTTTCAAATAATTTTATTGTAAAACTCAATAGCAACATTTTTTAAATATAAAATTTATGTATTGAAATTTACTAGATAATTATTTTTTTTAATTATAGCTTAGCAACTACGCCTGTAAGTTTTTCGCCCACAATTTTAAATTTAGCGCTACACTGCTTGAATACTGCTTCTAGTAAGCAGTGTATAAAGCGCCACCTGGTAGTCGTTTTCATGTATGTAGATACCAAATAGAATGATGTAAAATTTACAAATTGCACCAACATTTTTAAAAACTATTTTATGGAATATTATAATTTTTTGAATGTTTAATCAAATATAATATAATGTGCAAAAAAACGCAGATTTGACCTATGCTTTTAGAATCAAGGTATATGTATCACCCCAAAACATGATTATAGTGAATTAATATCTCGTAATATTTACAAATTTATTTAATTTTATAAAAATTTATAGGAGTGCTACTCTGCAACTCACCTGTTATGTTTCCCGTGGTTTTGTTACAAGTCTTTTTCCGCTTGGCGACTGGTAAGGTGTAAATGGCCGAGAATTTGGTAAACCGTTCTACCACAGCACTGATTTTGCTGGGCTTTGAGTCCTTTTGGTGTCCCGCATCTGTTCCTGCCACAACCGGAGACGGCGTGGGCTGCACAATGATTGGCGATGCTTTCCTTTGTTTGGGTGACGGCGTGGTCGAACTGGTTGATTACAGATTAAAATTTAAAGATTAATTATAAAAAAATATATATATATTTGAGTGGAAAAATAATGAGCATCTCACCTGACGGCTTTGTGGTATTGGCAAAAGAAATCCGGCCGCATCCGATGACGGCATAGGAAGTCCTCGCAAAGTCGCAGGACATCATCGTCCTCGCAATTTTCGCTTTCACTGCTGCTTCCGCTTTGTTCGCAGTCCTTCTCTTCCTCCTCCACTTCTGCAGATTCGTTTCTGCCTCTCGGTAGTCCTTTTCTTCTGGGTTGAGCATCCTGCTGCTCCTGGGGACTGTAAAGGAAGGCTGGAATCGAATCCCCGAGGAAATCCGGAATATTCTCAAAGAAGTCCGCCGTTCGCTCATAGCTGCTGCTGCTGGCATCGGAGCTCTTGGAGCGCTGCTGCAGATTGCTCTTCAGGCTCCGACTCCGGCTCTTGCGGAGAGTCAACTGGTGCTGGTGGCGGCCCACGTCGTAGTCAGCATACGTCTGATCCGGCAGCAACATAGCAGTATCATCCTGCTTGGCCTCTTAACCAGGCCAACGCTACAAAAAGACACTTACATGAGAATGGTAAAGATAACTTAGGATATCCCTCCTTTTGATGGATATTCACTTGGTTTTAATACTATCATGACCCAGAAAATAGAAATCCAGTTACCTATTTAAGCTTGGAAAGTTCGATGCAAGTGTGACATGTGCTAAGACGAGCTGAGCGGCTGGCGAAATCAAACGAGACATCGATTCGTATTTTAATTGCTTTTAAATCAAGTGCACTTGCATTTGGTGTTTGGTGGCCAATGTGGCTGATGGCAGGGGCGGGAGGAAAGTCGAGGGATGAGATGGCTTCCGCGTCTGCAGGTCCATAAACCTGTCGGTTTATTGGCGCAGCCGATTACCGCGATTAGCGTGACCATGACGAAGGTGACAGACACGGACGCTAATGCCTTTTACTGCCCAGCTCAGTGTTCAGTGTTCAGGGATCTGGCACTGCCAGACTGGGGCTGGAGCTGATGCTTCTGGTTTGATGCAACATGTTGCAAGCAGGCCCCAAAACAGATGACTGGCCCATCCAAATGAGACGCGATATTTATGCCACACGCGGATAGTGCGCCGTGTGGTCCCACGTCGGCCAGGAACTTTTGCTGTTGGCAATTAACTCAAATGATTGTCATAAAGTGTTGGACGTGTGCGGAGGATGGGGCCCAAGTCCAAGACGAAGTCCGAGCTGTAGATTCAGAGCCACTGGCGTCGGCATTTTTCAGTGTCAACACAGCGGGCGGCGGCGTTTGAGTTGAAGTTGAAGGTACCACCGAACCAAGTCAGGCCCAGATCACAGATATCCGAGCCACTTCTGGTTTATTATGGCGATTACGCAACTTGTAAGAAGATGCCCCCTTTCCGCAACAAGTTAAACCAGAAGAGGGGCGATGAAAGGTGGATACTTTTCCCATCGGACCAGCAATCTAGTACTTTGATTTTTGTCAATTTATTGGCTACTGATTGGCTTCCTCGACGATCTCCCAGCTGACAGATTACACTGCCGCGGAAATGTTTTGGTCATAAATCGGCTTAGCCAAACGGAAACGAAACGGCAGCCATCTCGTCCTGAACAATTTGGCTATCTAAACATGGCTAATCGCATGGCTGGGGCCTTCTAGAATGAATAAAATATGTCATCTAATAAATGTGTGCCCAGGCAGTCGACCAGGCTATCAGTATCAGGTAGCGACATCGCATAAAATAAAATAAATCTCATAAATATGCAGCCAGCGACCAGCAGGCGAGGGGACAGGGCCGGCCAGGGGGAGCAATGCAGATGGAGGAACTGCAGACCCGTTCACCTGGCTACCTTAGCTACCTGGGCGATAGCTGCGACTGACTGCTGGTCGGGTCTGCGACGGAAAGTTATTTATTCTAACTACGAGTACGATATACAATTTCCACTCCAATCTGCAAAGTGGAAGACAAACGCCGCTGTGGGTCGCTCCGCTCCACAGCTCCATGGAAATCTTGGCTGGCCCCTTCTTGGCTGTTTGGGGCAAGGGATTTGCTTTCTCATGTGGGGGGCCGATGGTAATTTGCATTTGCAGCAACTTCAACAAATCAGCATTCGTCCGACTGAGATATGAATTAATTAGTAAGCAGAAATTTCGAGGGAGATACATTCGTATCTAATATTTGCATACCTTCTAAGCGGAAGCTGCAAAAGTTACTTGAAGATACTATCACTGAAGCATTGGCTTACAGATTTTGAATATTTCTCCAGTCCTTGGTCCTTAGGCAGGACTATTTAGCTCATGAAGTTATCCACCAAAAGGCCTGTGTTTCTGAACGCCTGGGCAAACATTTACAATCAATTTGAAGGCATCGACTGAGCAATTTCCCAGGCCACGGATGATTACAGGTCTAGGATGAAGCCCTTCTCCTGGGCCTAGAACTCCTCCCCCATGCTCGGCGGATAGGAATTGCACTTTTGACTCGCTACATGGAAATTACATGATTTAACTTAATTTAATAAAGAGCCAAGGGCACCAGCTCCGACTCCTTCTGCTGGCCAGGCATCGTATCGTGGATTCGTGGCTCGCTTTTGTGATTTACCGCGTGTTTCCATCCCCATGTCCCTTCGTCCACCCCCGCTTTCCTTCTGTAGATAGTTCACTTAAAAAAAAACAAATTTCCTTAAAAAAAACTATTTTTTCTTTCAATTAGTTAAGCCTCATAAATATTTTTGAAACCTCCAAAAGCTTATGGAAACTATTTGAGATGTTTGGGAGGTTCTGATATTTAAAATGTGATAACTGATATACTTTTTTTCAGTGCATTGAAAGCCAAAGTCGGAGTCCAGTGTCTTGGCCTTCCATCAACGTGGTGGGCTGATGTACTCGAACTTGGCCACACTCCGAGACTGTTACCCCGACCGACCCTGCGGTTTTTTCTCAGTGCAGGGATTTGTGAAGATCAAGAGATTTTGATTAATAGGTGGTGGTTGCCTGGGTCTGGACTGTTCGACTGCTGGACTGGTGGCCTGTCGGACGGCTGGGTCTACCTCCAAAAGGCAACTCCTTGGCCATGGCCTCGGGTTAGACATTGAGAAATATTTTTGCGAATCGAGTCGACAGACGAAGGCAGTCGAAACTCAATGAATTTTTCGCTGCTTTCGCGGCCTGTTGTGTCTGCCCTTGTTGATTTGGTAATCGCATTTGTTCTGGCTATGTGTTGTACCCGTTGTTTTCCCCCAATTGTCCACGTCCTCGTACTAGCTCATTCTGGGCGGAAAACGGATAGAGAATAGAGGATTTAAGGCATTAATAATAATTTTCTAAGAAGCCTGATCAATATCTCTATAAGTTTGTGTGGTTTCCTATATAATTATCAATGGCATTACTTCATAATCTCAGGTCTTTGGATGTCTTCTTTCCAAGCTAAGGGGTACTAGTCTTTTGGCTACTAAGCGTGGCTAACCTTAATTGGGGGACTTAAGTAAAAATATCCTAATTAGGTTTAAACTTTAAACAATTACCGTCCAGGGCCATAATTAAATCTTTTCCCATCTGGCAGCTGGAAATACCCAATATCCAAAACTGAAGACCATCCAGCCAATTGGCAACAACGTATGCGAAATTCGATTCCTCTTTGAGTTCGCATTCGGCATTAATATTCGCATTCCTGCCGAAAC